GGGCTTCGTGTATGCCTGAAAGAGTAATGCCGCATGGAGAGGAAGATTGGGCAAATGAGGTCTGGCTTGGGAGGATTTAGTAGCTGTCTTTTTCTTCGTCTTCAAGCTTCTTTTGTGGTACGCCATCGCGGCTGGTTTTGTCCGAAAGGCCAAACAAGGCTGATTCATTCTGTCGTTGTTTTTGTCAACAATAGGGTGAATAGGCGCCCGAGTTTTATCCTGTGCTACGCGCGTAGTGAATGTGCGCCAACCGAACAATAGGTAGCTCCTAGTCAGCGGCTAGGGCGGTATCAAGGTTGCCGGACCCGCCTTGCGTAGCATCTGGTGACTGGTGTTTTGTTTGCGTCTAAGCTCTGATACTCAAAGTGAGATGCCGCATGCTAAAAGACAGAACGCGGCGCTATCCCAAAGACATCACGAGAGAATAACAAGACATATGGTATAGTACTGTATGGCCAAAACCGAAAAGAAATGAGGTGACTGACACAATGAACCAAACCCCCGGCCACAGCTTCCCGGTAGAGAGGAAAGTTCAGAACACACCGGAAGGAGCCTCGAGGCGGGCTTGTATAGCGCTTGGCAATAAAACTTAGTAACGGCCGTGCAACTGCGCGAAGCTCACGCACCATTCATCATGTCAAAAGAGATCGAAGGAATCATACTAACATCATATCTTCGTACTATACTATATAATATATTACCAAACTTGTCCCTTTGCTCCTAACATGTCGCTATCCGTTATCCATCCGCTGCTAAATGTACTCCCTCGACTTCGACGCGCTATTCCTCTGTTCCGCAACTTCTTGCGGCGTCCAGCTCTCGTTAGTCGTGTCGTCTTTCACGCCGTGACGCAGCTCGTCCCGCCAGTTTTTATAGTGATCATGGCTGTGTTGGCATGTTGTCCTAACTGAAAGCAATCCTCTTCGTAATGTTCGCCGTCACTGAGTGTCACCATCCCCGTTGCATTATGCTCGCGTAAGCCTATGCGCATGGCCATAGTACTACCGAGCCATATGTTGCTCTTGAACCGCTTGGCTTGATTGGATAATAAACACTATGTTCAGTATTTCTAAAAAATTTGAATCCATATTACGGGTGCTAGAAAACTAAATGTTACAGAACATCTGTAAATCTCTGAGTCGGGAGCTCCTCGATGATCGAAGGGATCAAAATGACTGTGTACATGGTGTCGTGACACCTTCTAATTTCGACACTTCACAAACACAAGCGCGTAGTAATGAGCCCTGAGTGCTGGTTGGGCCAAAACTGACGGCCTCCCCTTCTATTTCGCATATGGTCGTGTGTATGTATCACAGCACGGGCGTTTCATCCCATCGTTTGAGAGGTAGAATAAGGAAAATATTATTCGGTTGTTCAACATTGCACCGAACATGGCTAAAAAGCCAGGAAGGATGCAGTGTCTCACGCCCGCGCGGGGACCTTCCTAGCTTGCCGCCTAGCAGCCGCCTGGACGTAATCGATAGAGTCCATGTTGGGGGAGACGGGCGTGCGGGGCTCCGCGGCCGTATAGACCGGGGCTCCGCTAGGCTGAGGGTAATATGGCTCAGTGCCCATGCGCTGCGGCGGAGCCATGTATGCCTGGGTCTGGCCGTCAGCAGCTACCTCGGCCCTTACTTTATCCGGCCGTGGTGGTGGTGGAGGTCCCTGCACTGGTGGTTTTGAAGACATCGAGTAGTAACTCTCATCAGCGTCCTCAGACCGCTTAGGAGTTTCGGGCCGAGGGCTTGGCTGTGCGCCGCTGTCGTTGGTCATAGCAGGAGGCGTAGGATATCCGGCGCCGTGAGGCCCGCTGCCGGCAATCTCTACCCCACGGGTTGTTACCTGAGGGGCCTCGTCGCGGACTTGTCTGGAGGTGCGACGGTGCTGCTTCAGCGAAGGAGTGGATGGGTGGCGGCCCGGCCCTCGATGCTTGGGCTTGGAAGACGTCTCGTCGTCTGATGTTTCGTCAGGATTCTCTCGATCATCCTCTGCGTACTGTTCACGAGGTGAGCGTACATCTCCTATAGGGAGGTTGGGTTCACTTACCATCCTTAGTTCCTTTCGCATCGCAAGGCCGGCACAGATATCTTTAGCCTCCTCGATAGCCTTCTTCTGTAGCTTGAGTGTCTGCCGTCTGTCTCGGGTCTCCTTGTTCTCAGCCGCAATCGCCTCGACAATCTCGTCCGACATACTCAGGATCTCAACAGAGTTGAAGATACTGTACATGCCCTGGAGAAGATGGCGCTCAACAACCTGGGTGATGATGTTTCTGATGAATCCCTTCGCCGAGAGCTCATAGTAGATGAGCATCTTCTCCAAGACCTCCTGGGCCTCGGAAAAGACGGCACCATCCTTGGATACGTTGGTCTGCCAGTTGCGCAAGCGCGCTTCGTACTCGGGGTCGTAAGGCTGGATCTCGAGGTTCAGGTCCTGAGACAACAGGTCAAGTTCGTTCTGTGCCTTCGCCATTAGGGTCTTCATTTGAGGATCCAAGAAGTACCGGCGCAGCGGGGCACGCATACGCTTCGGCCAAGAATAGTCAATAAGTTCGCTCAAGAACTCGTTGCAGACGACGCCAAGATTATCCTTGTGCTCCTGGGCTAGCTTCGCCCAGTTCTCCGAATAGCTTTGGAACAACATATACACGGCCCTAGGCTTGGGATCCATTGGGAACTCGGAGCCGCGTATCTGCTTCAGCAGGGCTTCAACTTCTTGGCGAACAAAGTCTTGCTTCGCCCCGAGTCCGGGGTTCTCTCCGTCAGGTGAGCGGGGGTCCGTGGCTGAGAAGTTGAACTTGCGTCCATGGGCTCGGATCCGGAGCGAGAACCTGTCATTCTCCTCAGCAGCCCGGGCTCGTAGGTTCTGTGCAGGTGTTCCCCTCGGATCGGCAGTGACGCGGAAGAAGTTCTTCTTGGGCGGGTTCTTGTAGAAACCGTAAACGGCAGGGATTACCAGCTCCTTAGATGAGGAAAAGAGCTCAACGAGTTCGATCCTCATCTCAGCAGGAGTGTCCTTCCCAACTCCCAGTGACTTGAGCTCGGCTTCGCAGTCATCTAGCGCCTTCTGGATCTGCTTACGGAGTGTCTTGACATGGCGCCCTATGTGCCGCTGCAGTTGCGAGCTCAGCTTCTGCTTCAGTGCAGCAGCACCGCAGTTAGAGCCTGGCAACGAGCTCCATTTTCCGCGACTGAAGAAGTCATCCTCAGCCGTCTGTCGCTCCTCGGTGCTTGGCCACGGCTGGCCCTGCTCACGAGGTCCTGGGTTTAGTAGGACATACCACCCAAGGCGGTAATTGTTCCTCCTATCTTTGTTGCTGACGAGGTCGATGAACTTGTCCTCAAGGCCGATCGACTCCGTGAGGTCAGGCTTCGTTAAGACGCCGATAGTTCTGGATCCATCCGGATCGAAGTGTCGGGTCTTGGTTAGTATTGGCGCCTGCACGTAATCTGAGTTGCCGCCCACCACGGCGAGGATGAGCGTCCTCGGGCTCTTCATATAGTGGTCCGAAAGGGCCTCGATAGTCTTGATGTCCTCCAGATTCTGCTCATTATTTGGATTCTTCACCAAGCCAGGGAGGTCGATGAGTGTCAAAAGAGGCATGTCGGGGCCGCGCTTCTCGATAACAAGTATGTCACGAGCCGCAAACCGTCCCGGTATGTTTTTCGGGGCAATCAGGTCGACCGCGGAGCGCATCAGGGTCTCGAAAGAGATGCTCCCGTCTACGGTCCCGCCAAACTGGCGCAGGCGTTCCTGCTCCGTGAAGTTTCGGTTCTTGTCCGGGATGATCGTCACAATCAAGCTCGCCTCGGACGACCGTCTGAGTCGGATCTCTGTCGCAAATCGCGTGCACGCCCCGGCATCTCGCGGAAAGGGCGTGCCGGTGATGGCCTCGAGCACCGAGCTCTTTCCAGCGCTTTGGTCACCCACGACCGCGATCTGGGGAAGCTTGACGCCATCTAACTGGGCAAACTGGAGCTTGTCGATGAGATCAAGCAGCTCTCGCTGCTCATCAGCGAGGCCCTGGGCATCCAAGGCCGAGTCGAGCGGAGACGTCATGGCGCCGATGCCGAGACCCAAGGGAACGATGTTCGGCCAAGGTTGGGGTTATGCGGGCAGTGACGGGGCAGAAATCAGAAGAGAGACTTGCAGTGTAACAGTGAAGACCGAGGTGGGAAGTGTGCAAAGATACTGCAGCTCCTACATATGGGGGAGCTGCGGGGAGGGGCTGGGGAGGTGACTAGGAGAGACGGCCTTATGTCGCCACTGATTGAAGAAGCCGCGTGGCTCAGGAAACGGTAGCATGTAGTTTAGGTATGCCCAAGGTTAGGCACTTGGTCCCCCCTATCTTACCTGTTGCATAATTGCCTTAGTAGCCCCGGGTTGTTCAGGTGGCTGTCCTGCAACGTAGGGCGCAATCACGGATCAGGATATGCATGACTCTAGCAGCGGTTCGCCCTGGCGCGGCCTCTAGCCAGTCCAGGTAAAGCAGACGCCAGAAGAGCTCAAATTGTATCGCCTCCCTCTGCCTGGGCACTGGGCAACTGTTGCGAATCGAGACGACCAAGGGCGGAGAAAGCAGATGCTTGGCGCGCCCGGAGACTGCTGCCTGCGATTTGCGATTGGGGGCAGGTGCAGATGACGAGTGAAGCTACGCGTCGCCGGGCGAACCAATGTCTGGTTCGTCAGGTCTCGCCCCGAATCCGCGGGACTTGGATCCGGAATGGTTGACGCGGCTCTCTTCTCAAGTTGCCACATGATTGGCGCCAAGCAGCATTGCAGCTTGCTCAAAGAAGATCTAATAGAGCCTGGACAGCAGCCATTGGCTCCCTTCTCTGTCGATGCCCCACTAAAAAGAAACAAAGATGTGGCGTTGCTGCGCCTCAAGTGGCGTAAGAACACATGAAATTTTGTGTGGCTCAGGCGAGCCCAGTTCATGCTTTCCGAGCTACGCTAGGCCCGGGGTTGCTCAGAGAGCAAAACAAAAAAAAATATTCTTGTGACTCGGATACCAGGAATCGAACCAGGAGCTGTTGAGTTGAGGAACACTTCTGAGAAGTGAGAGTCAACGATGTTAACCATTACACCATACCCGATGCTGGCTAGCTCGTGATGAGCTTGTTGGACGACCGGGGCTTTCGTTGTTCACATAAATCTAGCCGTTGGGCTCTGTGGAGAAAGAATTTTTCACCCAAGCACACCGCTTGGGCGAAATAGAGGATCCGTTCCAGGGGCCCATCGGCACATGGCCTATGGGGTTCTCTGGTATCTGAGTAGCTTTGGTTTATGGGGCAAGTCTTGAGTCTTGACTCGTAGAGGTAACTCATTTAGGTTCTGATTACCAGCCGTAGGGTCCGAGGCTGTGACCCCTCTTGAGCCAGGCTGGAACCCGTTCTAAAAGGGGAAACCAGAGAGTCTAGATGTTCTTGGCCCCGAAACCAATTCCCCGATTTGAAGACACGGCATGCTATTCTAGCTAGCCACCTCGTCGGTAACACCAGACCCGCTAATTGGCGACGAGATTCCGCTTGTCGGGCGGGAGAACCTGGTACCAAGTTCTCCACGGCCCGGTGCAGGGCCGGAACTCAGAGATGTTGCTTGGGACAGATGGCGTGGTGGCGACATATATTGAACGGGGACCTGAGATACACGATCCACTTGGTTTCCTAGGCTCTGGGAGCCCGGGAGCGGCACGCCTATCCGTCGCTGAGGGCTGGTCGTTTAGCCTGAAAATCACAATCTATGGCAGCGGTATTGGCAGCGGCATCGCGATACCCAGAAACCATTAAATGCTGCTGATAAGGCCCTGACTGCGCGGCTATATCGCCATGCGTCAATGAGATGTGAGCGTTAGAGTAGTCGTCCCAACAGTCCGCGGCCGGCGGCTCTGTGAAGGCACGGTGTTCGCCAACTCTCCCGAGTTTCTACCAAATCTCATCTACCGAGAGATTAGCAGAGCGGGTCATCTTGACATGGCAGCTCCCTGGCACGATGCACGGACATATGAATATTCTCTCAGCCCAGGCCGAGACTGTTCCAACTGGCGGGAAGCGGGCTGCACGTCGCGGGTCCTGCCTTCTGCAGCCCCTTTTACCGGGGCGTTAGTAGGGGACCGACGGCGTGCCAGGTCGTCGGTAGATATAACTCACGAGAGAGTAGCTTGCTTTGGTATCCTCGCTGCCCCCTGTCATCACACCTTGTACTCAGGCGGCAGACACGATGATCACCAACAGTATTGCTCTTCTTGTTGCCTCCCTAGCGGTATGCAAGGCGCAGATGCCGCAAGTTTATGGCCAGTGTAAGTTTACAGGGCTACCAAACCTCGCGCAGACGTCATGCTTACCACCTCAAAGGCGGCGGCGTAGGGTACGCCGGCGCAAGGTTCTGCCCGGCAAGTTCGTACTGTCTTTACCAGAAGTAAGTTGACCGTATTCGTAATCTTGCTCCTGGTTCGTATCGGTCTCTACTATAATAACCAAATCACCCTGCTTACGTCTCCTGAAGTGAATACTGGTCCTCGTGCTGGCCTAATGGGCAGGCTCTGCCCCCTGGCGTCGCTGTAAACTCTGGCCAAGGTCAGGTAAACAGCGCGCAGCCGACACAGGCGTTCACCACCTTATACAGCATCATCTCTGGTGGCGCTACGACTGTCGTGGTCCTGCCGTCACCCAAGTCGACGTCGACCCGGCCGCCGCCAGTTACCACGCTCACGCTCACACCGGATCAGCCGTTTAGGAAGGCAGCCATGGCCACGTCACTGCCAGAACAGGCGCGGCCGGTTGCAGTAGAAGTACTCGTGGAAGAGTGACAACGATAGCGGAACGGTAGGACAGAATGAGAAGACAGATGAGGTGGATTAATAGTTTGTCTCCATAGTAATTCGAATGAAGATACTTGTCTCAAGGGCGATGTGCATCTTTGTGTTCTGGGAAGCCGGGACCGATAAATAGATCACAGGGCCATGGACTCTAGGTCCTCTTTCTTATCATCTAGCAGAATGGACGTGCCCCTAGCCACTATTTCCCTCTAATTCACTACGAAATTTGAAGAGGCCATTATAAAAGTATACGGAAGTTTACCGAGATGCAGTGTGAAATGTTGACAAGACAGAAGCGGTATCCCACAGACGTACAAGACTTGGAAAGACCTCAATCTCAAAAGTTGTTTACATCTGTGAGAGAATCCCGTGATAGGCCACGTGTGGCTTAAAAATGTGTTCACAGACTTGTAGTTATTCTAGATTGGATTCTGAAAGGCGTCAAAAAGGCAAAAAAACTTACCTCGTCTCCTCAGGCCCAACCGGTTAGCTTGTTGCGCCCCCTGCTGCTCAGTGTATGCTGGCCGCGGCCGATTCCACCGTACGTCCCCCTTTCGTATTAAGGACGGAGCGTTGCTTCGGGTATTTATTTATTTTTCCTGCTGTTGTACCATATCTTTTTTTTTTAAGTTTCGGGGGTGGTTCGAACTCGTGACTTAGGTACATGTTCCAGGAACACATTGGGAGGATGCAGTATACCAACTGCGCTAACCACCCTGATCCCTTTCCCTTCTGTGGTGAGATTTACCGGCCCGAGGTTGACTTATCAAGTTCAGAGACAGGTTTATCAGGCTCAGATTTGACTCTGCGCTCACCATTCACAGCGATTGCTGCTCATCGCATACGTCTCCCATATCACATGTGACAATAGGGATACCATATGGCTCTTCACTCGGGGCCCCCGCCAAACTCTCTGAGTAGACACCTAATATCAAACCCAAGCTACTAGCCAGCCCTTAGGAGGCTACAGAAGTTCGAGTAAAGAGGCTTTCTTTGCTCGACAGAAGTAGCCTCCTAAGGATTGGGGCCATAGCATGTCTTGGATCCGTTTATCAAGGTATTCCCTCCACAATCTATAGCCAGATTCTTTTTGCAAGAATTTAATACGCTCCCTGGAGCCTCAGTTTAAACCTAGTGTTTCACAAGGTGGTCTAGCTACACAGGGGTAACAAGGCCCTCCTCAGGCGAAGACCGTAGACGGGACTCTAAGGCCGCTGGAGGAGTGGGACGTAAACTCTGTAATGTTCAGAGATGATTCCACTGCACTTGAAAGAAGATGGAGTTGAAAAGAATATATTTAAGTCGTAGATTAATACCGAATATGCAGCTCGCCGTGATGAAAAGTAAAGAGGATACTCTTGAGTCTTGATCAGAGTGCCGCGAAGAAATGTCTCCCATTTTGGACCATAGACAGGGGCTCTGCACTAGCATGGTGAGCAACCCTTTGCGCAGTTGCAACACTTTCTGGAGGAAATATCTTGCCGGCTCGGGAAATTGCGCGGCGGAGGTCTTCTATATCGGAGTTCACCCTATGGGTTATCCGATAGCCGCCTCGTAGTGCGCTGTTAAGTCAAGGATTCATCCCTTCTCAGGGCTACAAGTCGCTAGATGTAGTTGCTAGTAACGGAACCTACTAAGAGAATCTAAACATGAATAATGAGATTCTATCCTATTTTACAGCTGCCTCGGCAAACTACTCTGGGAACGCCGCGAAGTAAAACACCATCTCGCACTGGGTCCATATTATCTGTAGGTTCATTCATGGGTCCGATAACGGATAATATTTGACAATGATTAATAAGAGGAAGTCCAGGGAGAGAGCCGTTTGCTTCAGCAATTCGAGTATCGGGAACCTCGATTCGAGATCCGCAAGAGATTGCCAGTGAGACCGGGTCCGCTCGGCGGCCTTGGAAACGCCATGCCTGCTCCCTCCTTGTCGAAGCCTTCGAGTCATACACCGGAATGCCGAAAAGGGAAATCCGAGCGGGTGAGCTCGAGTCGTGGCCACTGACTGCCGGGATTAGCAGGTTTTCCCCAGATTTCACATTGAACAACTGTGGAGCGAAAAAGGCTCGAGTTGCACCCATGGGGAAACTAGGTTGCGGCGATCAGCGGTTGAAGCGACGCTAAAAGTTGGAGAGTTGGGGCGGAACTCCCGAGAAACGCCCGTTGGTGAAAAAATAATAGGGGCCAAGAGGGCTAGGGAGGGGGGCGACGCGGGATGGAGGCCGGGTGCCCCATGACGTTGATCTTACCCACAATCGCCTGAGCAGAGTGAGACGAAAGGCAGAGTAAGGGATATCTCGCTGCCCATAAAGAGCCAGCCCCCATCGCCTACCTAGGTAGCTGGCCTCTTCGGAGCAAGAAAGGCCGGTCCACAACCTAGGAAATCCTACCAAGCCTGCAGTTGGCTTAGATTCTCTCGTTGAAGGTGTCCTGGCAAATTTGTTATTGTCCACCATGAAGAAGTTCCTCGGACTCAGGGGCCAAGCCCTCAACTATGCCATTGGCACAATCGCCGGCTGCGACTTTCTTCTCTTTGGCTACGGTATGGCTCCGGCCACTTCTAACAGTCATTTAGAACACGTATGGATACTAACAGGTTACTAGATCAAGGAGTCATGGGTGGCATCCTCACTCTTGATGTCTTCCTTAACCAATTCCCCATCATCAACCCGGATGCCACCGACGGCGGCCCGGGGCCCTCTACCCGGTCGACATACCAAGGCATCTCTGTTGCGTCATACAACCTCGGATGTTTCATGGGTGCCATTCTCTCAATTTTCATTAGCAACACCCTGGGCCGAAAGCGCATGATCATGCTCGGCACTAGCATCATGATCGTCGGTGCCATCCTCCAGTCCAGTGCGTTCTCTATTGAGCACTTCATAATCGGCCGCATCATCACCGGCGTCGGAAACGGTATGAACACGTCTACTGTGCCCACTTGGCAGTCTGAGACCTCTCACGCGCATAAGCGCGGCAAGCTGGTCATGATCGAGGGTGCCCTTATCACTTGTGGAATTATGATTAGCTACTGGATCGATCTGGGGCTTAGCTTCGCCCCAGGATCCGTTGCCTGGAGGTTTCCCTTAGCTTTCCAAATCGTTTTCTGCGTTTTTATTCTCATCTTTATCCCAGCTCTGCCTGAATCTCCCCGCTGGCTCATTCTCAAGGGGCGGGAGGACGAAGCCAAGGAGGTTTTGGGAGCGCTTTCGGACAAGGACATCAACGACAAGCTCATTCAACAGGAATTTATGGAAATCAAGGACACCGTTG